ACTTTCCGAAGCGATATTTAAATAAAGTTCAAATACCTAGAAATACGAAAAGGCGAATTTTTGCGGAGAAAAAGTTTAAAAAAAAACTTATAGATAGGAAAAACGAGGAAAGAGGCGTCTTTTTTAGTTAAAAACTTTTCTAGTCCTCAGTTTTGATCTTGCTCAGTATTTTTCCCTCCAGAGTGGCATCTTCAACTTGTCCGCCCTGATCTAGGCGGGAGGAGGAAAGGAGGTGACATTTTTATAAGTACTTGAGATTTTTAGTTCCTTTCACAGTTATCACTACAGGAGGTATGAACGCTTTGGGAAGTGCGGACACAAACGGCAATGCTCTTGGGCTTCTCAACGTTTCTTGACATGTTTTTAATTTTTGCTGTTAATAGCAATCTATTGAGTGACTTTTCCTCAAAATTAACGAAAAATTTGCAAAAACTCAGTTTTGCAGATCCATAATTTTTAGGAAATCGAATTTATATTTCCAAAGCTAACAATTTCAGTTTGCCTTCTGGATTTCTGTTTATTTGCTTTTCCAATTTCTTGATATTAATGTTCATTAGGTGTTAGATACTGGAATACTTATTAGACCTAAGCAGAGTTATAAACACTATTTAAAGGCTAGGTTTTAGTTTATAGTCAAGTATATTGGGAATATTGAAGGCTGAGATTTGAAGTATATATGAGAAGCAAATAATTTAGCTGCGACTGAAATGTTTCACCCCATTAAGCTGTACGTTGATACCGGGGACGGTCGCAAGGCCAGATCCGAGCTCCATTTTCCCGGATAAGTCGGCAACTGGAACCAGTGGCAACCCATTTATGCCAACTGGAGCTGAAGCAAGCAATCACAGCACAGATGATAACGAAGTGGATGCGAGGAGCACGAATGAAAAGCCCCCGTCGGACTCCAAACGCATGGTTAGCTATTCTTCATCGAACTGTTTTTTTACCTCGTTTTTCCTCTTTTCCTCCTCCTTCTGTTCCAAATCTATCTTCCTCTTTTCATAGTTATTTTTAAAAAAGAGTGTATTACTTTAGGCTTTAGTTCACTTTTGACCCGGGCTTTTTGCAGCACTGATGCCTGTGTCGGTAGCTGGAAGGAGGGGCAAGGGCAAAGAAAGGCGAAGGCGGATCACTGACGTGTGTTAAGCATCATCACCGCGTGACAAGTATTGTCCTGGACCTCAGTGAATGAGGTATCTCATTGGCTAGGAAATATACCAGTTTCTAATTCTAGGAAAATAGGCGCTGTGAAAGAAGTGAAGAATTAAACCAATTCCTCAATGGCGGTTTAATTGTGTGGAACTCAGATATTAAACAGCTTATTAATGATGGTGAAAATTTCTGCAAAATAGCGGCGTCTAAAACGAATCGGTCGTCGTGCTCATCCCTTCTACTCACGGGTCAGTTTTTTCCCAGCCCGAGTTCTAGATTTTTTAATTGCAGAATTAGCTGCTAATGGGAAAATTTTTCGTAATTTTGCGTAAAATTTAATGGTAGTTGCGAGAATGACTACAGCTACTAGAATGATTTTCAAAAAGATGATATGCCTTTGAATGCAATGTGACGGAGCAAAGATTGGAAAAATTCAGCTTAGGATAAAATAGCCCGGCACAGCTGTCCCAGCTTTCTTTCGCTCCCTGCGCCGTAACTTTCCTCAGCGTTATTGAAATGCCTGAGTGGTATCACATTTTTGCTTGGATGAATTTGTTTGTTAAGATTTCTTGTCTCTATTAAATCGGAACGACTAAAAGTATAAAATATCAGTATTTTTTTTTTCGTTAGCAAAATTGCGAGTCCTAGAATGATAGGCCATTCATTCTGGATGGTATGCTTAATAGCATGCTTCCACACATCGGCCCGCTTGATCTCAGTCTGTATGCCTTCTTCAGTGCTTATTTTCGTTATGTCGGTTTTTTTTTTGTTATTTTACTTAACATTTCCAAAAAAACCAGAAACTAGGTCATGAAACTAGAACTTGTCACTGGAACTTAGAAAAACTAAAGCATTTTTTGCAGGTGTGCGAAAATCAGGTAAATCATGCTTGGCAGCTCTTATAGCCAAAAATTCGGACATTTCGATTATCAAAATATACTCGCCAGATGATTTCCTCGGCATGGATGAAGCAGCAAAAGTGGCGAAGTTGAAAGAAATCTTCGAAGAGCTCAGTCAACTCCGTCTGTGCATTTTGCTGCTCGATGATTTAGAAATGCTAATTGGTATATTTTAAAAAACTTCAATTAACTTTTTCTTTAGCCCATGCTCTATTACTCAAAACTCGCATATTCTGAATCAGGTACCTTATCGTGTATGAGAATAACCGAGTGGACAATTTCGAGGCTCAAGGGGAGGGGGGGGGGGGGGGGGGGGGGGGGGGGGGGG